CACAAACCTAAACCCAGACCCCCCCCCTTAGCACAAATTTCTGCAACACCTTCAGGAGAGCTTATGATCACTTTAATATCAAGATTGTATCTGTCATCCTTTAGCTTCTGCACAATATGGGGCAAGATCTTTCCTTCAAACTTTCTGGCCACCCTCTTCCTATGGTTCCATTTGATCAATATCTTCTGTATGATGGTGTCCATCAAGTCATCCAGATGCTTTTGCTTCTCACCCTTTATCCAGTTATTGAAAGACTCAACCAAGTTGTTAGTCACATAATCAACTTTTGAGGCAGTGCCAAACTGGCTCCTAGTCCATAGCTTCTTGTGAGTGTCTTAAAGGTACTTCATAGCTTCTGCTTTGGCAGCAGCCATTGCCTGATAATGCTTATCAAACATATATGGACTCCAAGAATATGCAGAAGCCCACAAGTGCTCATCAAAAACTTTACCACTATACCTCTTCTTGAAATTCTGTACTAGATGGTACATACACTCCCTATGTTCAGCTTCCGAAAACACTTCACTAACTCCATTCATCACTGCCTGGCCACAATATGTGGAGAAAGTAAGCCCAGGTGGACTGCCTATTGCTTCCTTCAACCTCCCCATGAACCATACCCAATTTTCATTAGTTTCAGAATCTATGACACCTACTGCTACTGGGTACATCCAGTTGTGCCCATCAACTGCACAGGAACTGGTTTCCTGTATCTGGGCCTTAAATCTAAAAAGATTATCAAAACTTTTATCCCATGGGCCATAAATCTTATCCATGGCAAGTAGTCTACCTTTGTATACTCTTTTGTAGGGCACCACAATCTTGTGCTCATCCTTCAATCTCCTTTGTAGTTCAGTGGCACCCACAGTCCCATCTTCCTTGAGCCAATCAACCACTTGATGACAGACCTAGAACTGAGTCACTCCTACACAGACTCCTTGCCTCCTAGCGCTCTGGCACTGATGGGAAAATGGGTTCCTCTTTATCTGCAAAACAAATATACATTCCACAGTTACTGCATGCATTTGCAATAAGTAATAACAAAACCAAATTACTATCAGCATTTACAAAAAGTACATACACATTACCTTAACAGTTACACCATCCTTCAGAGTTGATGCATGGATTCTCCATGGGCAGCCATCATTCTGGGCAGTGCAGGTTGCCCTATACCTTCCTGTGTCACTTGCCTCAATGTTATAATGGTACTCATGTTTCACAGAATGTGTAGCTAAAGCCAACTTAAAGGAAGGAATGTGCGAATAAGCAAAGATTTTACTGACCATAGGAGGATCCTTCTTGTCATAATCAGCATCAGTCATTTGTTTAGGTTCTTTATCTTTAATAATATCATCTAAGTCCTCTACTTCACTATCATCATCAGACAAGGATTCATCGTCAGAGTTATCACTGTCTGAACCATCAGAACTTTCAGGCTGCCTTTGCTTACTGCAAACTTGACTGTGAGGTTTGGTAGGTTGGGGATGTTGGGGGCCAAGGTCAATGTACAACCCTTCCTCATCAACACCCATATGTTCATTGGATGGGTTTGGGTTAGCCAGATATTCAGGTTCAGTACATTCACTCTGGGTGGCACTCTGGGAGGCATTGCTTGCTTCTGCTCTGGTAGGACAGTGGACTGAAGGAGTGAATGGGGCTTCAACAGAGTTGGCAGGGAGACTAAAATCCTAATCAGGAATCTGAGGCTCACTAGTTGGCCTATTATAGGCAACAGTCAAGAAACAACACTTTGATTCATTACTTTTAGCAAACATTTCACGCATATCTTGGTCACTCCTTACTTCAACGTTGACCTTACTCTGATTACAGAAATAAAACAATCGAGCTACCTCACCGAAATCAGGTGGATACTTGTCAACAACATCACGAACCAGATATTCGAAGTTAGTAAGCTCAGCATTCACAACTTTGTTCAAAGAAAACCACCGAGCACGCGAATTGGGAGTAACAATCCTACAGATGAACAACAAGGAGCACGCAATCAAGGAGAACGTAAACAACGGGGAACAACACCACAATCAACAAGACGGACCCTAAGCATCCACATTCACAAACTACCCGACCTAATCGATCCATACCAAGGAGCATGCAATCTAGGGGGAATAACACTCACCCGGTAGCTCGCAAGTTCGGTCGCTCGCCCGCACCCTTCTTCACTGCCATACGCGGCCAATCCTCTGGATCCACGGTGAACTCCAAGCAGGACTACCCCATTCGACGCCAGAAAGCACGGGGGATTGATCTTCTTCTCAACCCGCCACCGCCGCTAGGGTTCCACGTCCGCCGCTGCCCGCCTCAGCTAGGGTTTGGGGAAGAGAACGAGAGAGAAGCGAGAGTGAGAATACGATGGCGGTCAAGGTCGGTCAACACGGCCTCTCCCTCATATGTCCCTCTATCTCAAATGGTAAGATGGACAAATTTCTTGTCCGGTTCCACCTGTCAGGGCTATGAAACTGTCAAAACCAAACAGAACGTGGCTTGGGGGTAGGGATGAAAACGGATCGGATACGAACGGATATCACTCATATTATATTTGTTTTCATATTTCTGTTCGGATTCGGATTCGGACACGGATAACGTTCGGATACATATACGAATACGGATTGACTCGGTTACGGATACGAATAATGAGTATCGAATACGGTATGAATCGGATTCGGAGAAGGTCGGATATAAATATCTATTCGGATATTGAGTAAAAGCAGCATATATATATATATATATATCATACGTGCGCAAACCATTACGCCACTCTATGAGTCCATAATCCATCTAGATTAAGCCGAAAGACTAAAGAGTAAAGCAACAAATAAGATAAAGATACAGATACATCATACATCAAACATCATATAAGCACCAATCTTCGCGGCATGAGTAGAAATAGCCAAGCACATTGCTTCATGGGTCTCATGGAGTCATGGTCATGGATTCAAGATCTACAATCCTTATATAGGCCATTTTTTTCATTTTGAGAAAGTTTGAACAAAATGTAGTTCAAATTTCAAAGTGTGTGATATAGTTTTAGAAAGTCTGTATGAGATTTAAGAATTTGTGACTAGTGTTTGATAAAACTTTCTCAAATAGGAAAATGAGCTATGTAACAATTGTATATCTTGCTGAGATGATCAAACTTGGTATTCAGAGATTTTTCATCTGAGGTCATTTAGTGTCTCATTTGAGCAAGTTTGACCAAGTCAAATTTGGTCAAATGAAAAAACAACACTTTGACTCTAGTATTATGAACTCTAAATGACTTCAAATTAAAAAGTTTTGAATACCAAGTTTGTTCAACTCATCAAGATCTACAATTGTTGTTTTCGTCAACTTTCCATTTGAGATAGTTTGGACGGTTCAAATTTGTGATTTTTAAATTTTGATGCTTACAAACTAGTTTTCGGAACCCTAGATTGTCTCAAATTGAAAAGTTTTGAATACCAAGTTTGTTCAGCTCATCAAGATCTACAATCCTTATATAGGCTATTTTTTCATTTGAGAAAGTTTGAACAAAATGTAGTTCAAATTTCACAAGTGTATGACATAGTTTCAGAAAGTCTATATAAGATTCAAGAATTTGTGACTAGTATTTGATAAAACTTTATCAAATGGGAAAATGAGCTATGTAACAATTGTATATCTTGCTGAGATGATCAAACTTGGTATTCAGAATTTTTTCATCTGAGGTCATTTAGTGTCTCATTTGAGCAAGTTTGACCAAGTCAAATTTGGTCAAATGAAAAAACAACACTTTGATTCTAGTATTATAAACTCTAAATGACTTCAAATTAAAAAGTTTTGAATACCAAGTTTGTTCAACTCATCAAGATCTACAATTGTTGTTTTCGTCAACTTTCCATTTGAGATAGTTTGGACGGTTCAAATTTGTGATTTTTAAATTTCAACGTTTACAAACTAGTTTTCGAAACCCTAGATTGTCTCAAATTGAAAAGTTTTGAATACCAAATTTGTTCATCTCATCAAGATATACAATCCTTATATAGGCCATTTTTCATTTGAGAAAGTTTGAACAAAATATAGTTCAAATTTCACAAGTGTGTGACATAGTTTCAGAAAGTCTATATGAGATTCAAGAATTTATGACTAGTGTTTGATAAAACTTTCTCAAATGGGAAAATGAGCTATGTAACAATTGTAGATCTTGCTGAGATGATCAAACTTGGTATTCAGAGTTTTTTCATCTGAGGTCATTTAGTGTCTCATTTGAGCAAGTTTGACCAAGTCAAATTTGGTCAAATGAAAAAACAACACTTTGACTCTAGTATTATGAACTCTAAATGACTTCAAATTGAAAAGTTTTGAATACCAAGTTTGTTCAACTCATCAAGATCTACAATTGTTGTTTTGGTCAACTTTCCATTTGAGATAGTTTGGATGGTTCAAATTTATGATTTTTAAATTTTGAATAAATATCCGGATAATATCCGTTTTTAAATATCCGGATATATCCGATACTTATCCGGATTATCCGATATCCGCCGGATATCGATGATATTACATCCGTATTTGATATCCGCCTAAGATATCCGTTTTAGTATCCATATCCGGAAAAAAAAAACGGATATCCGAGTAACTATCCAGATAAGTGTTCATATTTGTTCGGTCGAACGGACGGTCGAATAAATATCCGTACCGTTTTCATCCATACTTGGGGGTAAAGAAATAAAGTGTCATGGCATCTAGGTAAGTCCAAATTTTTTAGTGACATATAGGAAAATATCATCTTTTTTTAATGGTACACGTGGAAAAGGCTACTAGGTTTTCCTTCGGCGCACTGCAACAGCGCAGCGTCAACAGAGCGACCGCCGCCGAGGCGCGACACCGGTCAGGCAGCCACCATACGATACGGGCCTCCCGAACAGTCTGACCGCCACTCCATCCAAACCGCGCTCGCCGCATCGAAGGGGGCCTCCCAACCGCCGAGCCCGCCTCTAGACGACGACAACGAGCACGAGGACGAGCGGATGGGGAGGAAGGGGCGGAAGGGGAAGGGCGCGGCGGCCGGGGGAGCCGCCGGGGGGAGCGGTGGCATGAGGGAGGCGACGTTGGTGCGCGTCTCAAAGGCGCTCGAGGACTTCCGCGCCTCCAACGCCGAGGGTTCGCACCATTCGCTTCCCTTTACTTTGGCTCCTGTTTTAGAACTTTGGAGCGGCGGATTGGGAGCGTTCGAGCGAGTGTAGCAGTAGTGTGGATGCGCCGCTCAGTGGACTTCGCGCCTGGGTGCTAGAGTTGGAGCTAATCCCTTGCTGTTCTTTTTCCAACTCCATTAGAATAGGGCAATTTTCGTCCTGTGATCCTGTCGTCCTTAGTTATTAGTGCATTTGTATTACAACCTGCTTTGTGGTTTGCTGCTGTTTCTCATTCACATTGTGCTTTTATCAACATGTCGTTCACATTTGCAGTTACATATAATTTGCACCTTGGCTCTCTGACGCTAATATAAATTCATGTTCAGGCAAAGTTTGAATGTTTTCTTAGGTTTGACATGTGCTAAGTGGTGCATTCAGTATTTGTAATGTAGCTTTCCAGTCATACCTTTCGGAATTGCCCAATCTTAGGTTACAGAATGTTATCATCTACCCAGTACCCACAAACTGAAAACTGTTTCCCATTGGGTTGCATCTTGCAATTTTAGACAAGATTGTTGTGATATAGCTGTACGCCTTGTAGATAACATAGTAAAATTGCCATGCAAAAGTCTTTGCATGTTTTCATGGCTGTGTATTTGTGGGAGCACCAGCACATTGAGCACAAGCACTGACCCAAATAATTGTTTGTTTTAATATAATTTAATGATGATAGAATTATAGTTAAGTGTAAAAAGGTTGGTATAGTAGTAATAATCTCTTCTTATTTTGATGGCATTCTTTTCTCATATATTGGTTGGCCCTACTTAAGTTTAAGCACAGCACCGCCCCCCACCCCATCTATTATGGTAATGCATTGGGACTATTGCTCTCTTTCTTTGGAGTTATGTTGTGAGCTGAGCTGAATAAAGTGGCACCTAGACTATTTTACCTTGCAGTGTACACATTTGAACCTGATACATCCAAACAAGAGCGAGCTGCAATCCATGTGATGTGTAGGAAAATGGGCATGCTATCCAAAAGTTCTGGGTGAGTAAGATAACTAGATTCATGAAGCAAAATTGTTTCAGCAAAGAGTTGTAAGGAATCTATGGTTATGCTTGGTGCATCTTTGGGTGGCGCCATCCTAATGTTATCTTTGCATTACAAAAGTTGCTTGGTATATGTCTATTCTGAGTTCTATTTGACTTCAGGAATGGGGCAAAGCGACGCCTTTCTGTTTATAAAAGAAAACAGAAGCGGGGGCCTGAAATGGAAGAAGGCCCTAGCTACCTTGTGTTTTCTGAAGAGGCAAGGCATGTTTTGCAGGATTTATTTATGCATTACCCTCCTGGTGATGCTGATTTAAATGGGGATTTTGACCGGAATTCTAGTGATAAGGCTGCAAACATCAAATGGAAAACAGATAGTGCGTTTTGCAGGCCAGCAATGAGTAAACTTGATATAACGAAGAAAGTCGAGATGCTTGCCTCTAAAGTAAATGGATCCGACCAGTTGAGAAAGGTCTTACATTCTGGCTAGATAATATTATCTTCCTCTCTTTGCTTAGTTGCTGCTTCTTATTAGTTTATAGCTAAAGGTTTACTTGTGAACAGATCATGGAAGACAGAACAAAACTTCCTATTTCATCCTTCAAGGACGTCATCACTTCAAATTTGGAAAATCACCAGGTATTGTTTTTAGCTCCAAAGGTTTCTCACATTTGCTGGACCACATCTTCAACTCTTGTGGTGCACTGGCGCTGTTTTTTCTCAAATGTGCAGGAGAGCTGGGTTTTTTTTTTTTCATTAAAGAAGCATAGCATAATACGACAATTCCCAACCTGCATCTAAAAAAAGAAGGGAAAAACTTGGTTTCCATTGTGAGTTTTAGAACATGCACACCACATATAAACTAGAGAAATAACCAAACTGAGCCCAGGATTGGAGATTTAAAACTACTGAGCTTGTAAGCTCCGGTGGTCCTATGCTCCGGCACCATAGGCCCCCCCTCATCAGCCACCTGCTGGAACCACCAAATGTGCATCCGGATTCTCCGCATTAAAAGTGAAGTTGTTAGCAGGGTGGATGATGGCTGCTGCTTCCTCCTCCTCCCTCTCCTCTTCTCTCTTCACCTTCTCTCCTCACTTCCTCCCCCCCACTCCCCTCATGGCCTGTATTCAGCAAAGCGATTGTCACTTTCCTTGTCTTTGTTGTTTCTTCCTTCTTGCATTATTTACATTTCCTGTATTTCTTACTAGGTGGTTCTTATTTCTGGACAAACAGGCTGCGGTAAAACCACCCAGGTGCCAATTCTTTCAGCTAATCTCATATTCCTGCATTAAATTCAGTTTTTTTTTGTTATATTGTTTACTATCTATTCTGTTTATTTTTTCTTCTGTTTTTCTATATGAGCTATTGCTATCCTTGTTTTCATATCAATAAGATCCTCTATGTGTGCTTGAGCCAATATCAGTTGATGATGTATCTTATGTATAAAAACTAGAAAGTTCCTTTTGCTATCTCTGCGTGCATGGGATGTTATACAAGAAACAGTCTCTAGGTCCTTTCTGTCCATGTATCTTGTCAGAGGCTGGAATTTTGTGTTTTCTTGATTTCCTTAGATTTCTGTGCTTGATATTACACTTGGTTTTTGTTATTTACAACAATCAATAATATCATCTGTATTCAATCAGACTGATTCCACAAAAGTTTGATCAATTTCTCGTGGTGTCTGTAGACTTATATGTGAACTGAATTGCTTTGGTGATGATTTGGTGTGGGTGTGGGTGGGAGTGATATTTTTGTTTATTTAGCTTACTAACCATGTTTTTCTTATATATAGGTGCCTCAATACATCTTGGATCATATGTGGGGCAAGGGTGAATCATGTAAGATCATATGCACTCAACCACGTCGGATATCAGCTATTTCAGGTTTGTGTGACCATTGTGGCAGATTGCTTTTCAGTTTTTATCTTCTTGTTGCCTGTAAGTTATGATTTGGTCTATGCGCTATCCAGTTGCCGAGCGAATTTCTGCTGAAAGAGGAGAGGCTGTTGGTGACACCGTTGGATATAAGGTATTAACAAATTGTTATATCTTTCTATGATATATTTTTTGGTAGGTCTCTTTTTAGGGCAATGTTAAGGTTGCTGTGAAATGTCAAAAGAGGAATTACCATTCGTAGATAGAAGTGCTTCCAGCCTTCCAGGGTCATCTGTTTTTAAATAAAAGGAAGTATATCTTTTTGTATACCAAGGAATGTTATGTGATGGGCTTTGGACAAACATAAAGTCTCAACGAAGTACATCGGGCTCATTAAGGACATGTACAACAATGTTGTGACTAGTGTTCGAACAAGTGATGGTGACACGGATGACTTCCCGATTAGGATAGGACTACATCAAGGGTCAGCTTTGAGCCCTTATCTGTTTGCCTTAGTGATGGATGAGGTCACAAGGGACATACAAGGGGACATCCCTTGGTGTATGCTTTTCGCGGGCGATGTAGTGCTAGTTGATGAAAGCCGGACATGAGTGAATCAGAAACTAGAGTTATGGCGGGAGACTTTGGAGTCAAAAGGTTTTAGACTCAGTAGAACTAAAACTGAGTATATGAGATGTGACTTCGGCACTACTACTTGGGAGGAGAAAGATATTAGTTTGGAAGGTCAAGTAGTAGGAAGGATACCTTTCGATATTTAGGATCAATGCTACAGAGAGACGGGGATATTGATGAAAATGTTACCCATAGAATCAAAGCAGGGTGGATGAAGTGGCGCCAAGTATCTGGTGTCCTATGTGACAAAAGGGTACCACAGAAGCTAAAAGGCAAGTTTTATAGGACGGCGATTAGACCTACTATGTTGTATGGTGCAGAATGTTGGCCTACGAAAAGACGACATGTTCAACAGATAAGTGTCGTGGAAATGCGTATGTTGCATTGGATTTGTGGTCATACAAGAAGGGATCGAGTTCGGAACGATGATATACGTGATAGATTAGGGGTAGCACCAATTGAAGAAAAGCTTGTCCAACACCGGTTGAGATGGTTTGGACATGTTCAACGGAGACCTCCAGAGGCACCGGTGCATAGTGGAATCCTAAGCCAGGATAGTAACGTGAAGAGAGGCAGAGGAAGACCGAAGTTGACTTGGGTAGAGGCAATAAAAGGAGACTTGAAATGATGGAATATATCCAACGACTTGGCCTTAGATAGGAGTGCTTGGAAAACAGCTATCCACGTGCCTGAACCTTGATTGCTTCTGCTGGGTTTCAACTCTAACCTACCCCAACTTGTTTGGGACTTAAAGGCTTTGTTGTTGTTGTTGTCGTATATCTTTTTGTATGTAGACATTTTTCTTCTTTTGACAGCTTGTCATGTTGTTTGGGATTTCCCTTTTTTACATATACTTTACCTTTCTTGAATGTATGTTTCCTGCATCTATTGTGCTCATAACTGTGTCCGATATGCCATTTTTTTCTTGTCTTACGCTATTCTTTGTTCTCAATGTAGATACGTTTGGAGTCAAAAGGAGGGAAGAATTCATCAGTCTTGTTCTGCACAAATGGCGTTCTTTTGAGATTACTGATAGGAAGAGGAACTAACACTTCGAAAGCACGAAATCGGAAACGCTCATTAGATGATGCAATTTTGGGAATAACACACATCATTGTGGTAATGCTTTATATTTAAATTTTCACTCTGTGTACATGTTATCACGTATAATTTGTACTCCCTTCTAACTATATATCGTTTTGCAAAGCATTCTATCAGCTTCTAAGCTGTACTGATATAGACAGAAGTATTTTGATTTTCACATCAAAATGATAATAACATTGCTTTCGTATGATTATTGATTACATTTTTTTTCAAGAGTATATAATTGGAAAAGCAATGGTGAGCTATGCATTCAAAGACTGTTAATGTCCTGTATGGACTGGTTTTGTAGAGATGGTGTGGCTGTTTTTGGAATCAAATGTATTCCTTGTAACATTTACCGACGGTGGTACTGAGTAGTTTGCTAGGTCCCATAAGTGATATTTTTAACATCAATGCTTTTGTGACTTCTGATCAGATTTTCTTCTAACATTAACACTTTTATGACTTTTGATCAGGTTTACTGTTTTATTTTGATGCACTCTTAACATCCACACATATGATTATGAATGTTTGGCCACTTTGTTAAATTGGTTGCAATTTCTTCTTAAGTTAACCTCAAGTCATTTTATGATGGGAATAAAAGTTTATGCTTCTCAATCGAGCTTACGATGTGATGAATTTGGCCATGATAGCCTTTTCTGAAATATTACTTATTTCACACCATTTCAAATCTCATCCTTGTGAATCTTGTTGATCATTGGGTTTAGAACCTGATGTTTTGCGTACAATGCAGGGGCAAAACAACAATAGAGCCTGTTATTATAAACACCATTGTTGTAATGTTGGGTTGTGTATTATTCATTATTCTATAATATAAATGGTATGAGCTAATTATAATTATTTACTGTCTCCAGGATGAAATCCATGAAAGGGATAGGTTTTCTGATTTCATGCTGACTATTCTAAGGTATCACAATAAAACTGTTTTTGTACACTAGCTAGTTACTAAAAGTGCACATAGGAACATAATAATACTTTTCACGAAACAATTTTATGCAGAGACTTGTTGCCGGTGTATCCTCATGTTCGTTTGGTGAGTAGAATCTTCCTTTGTAGTTCAGTTCTTGTTTTTCAGCCATTTTAGCAGAACATAAAAGATGTTTCAAACATGTTGTAAATGCAATCATCAGGCTGCTTAAGGTTTTGTAGACCGGGGGTTCCTGGTTTGGTAGATTGATGTTACAGCATCGCTAATTCATCACATTAAAACATTGTTACACTAGTTGTAGTCTTAAGTCTTAACACATGGTTTGTTAAGAGTTCAGCTCGAAAGCCAGAGCCGAGGTAAGCCCTGGACACACTCTCCAAGAACACACACAAACACTACATTTATGGCTTTTCTGTTTTTTTACTCTTGTAGTATGGTGCTGCTGGAGTGCTATGCAGCTTTTTTTGTTTTTTTCCTCTATTTATACACAGCTGTCATAAACAGCCTAATGTACCCTCCACCCCTAAAACAAAGTCATTCTAGTTTGTTATAAGTCAAATTTTCCTAAGTTTGATGAAGTTTATAGAGAAGAGTATCAACATTTATTACACCAAATAGGCATACTACAAAAAATATACTTAATGATGATGAATCTAATGATACTTAGTTGCTACAACAACAACAACAACAACAACAACAAAGCCTTTAAGTCCCAAACAAGTTGGGGTAGGCTAGAGTTGAAACCCAGCAGAAGCAATCAAGGTTCAGGCACGTGAATAGCTGTTTTCCAAGCACTCCTATCTAAGGCTAAGTCTTTGGGTATATTCCATCCTTTCAAGTCTCCTTTTATTGCCTCTACCCAAGTCAACTTCGGTCTTCCTCTGCCTCTCTTCACATTACTATCCCGGCTTAGGATTCCACTACGCACCGGTGCCTCTGGAGGTCTCCGTTGGACATGTCCAAACCATCTCAACCGGTGTTGGACAAGCTTTTCTTCAATTGGTGCTACACCTAATCTATCACGTATATCATCGTTCCGAACTCGATCCCTTCTTGTATGACCACAAATCCAACGCAACATACGCATTTCCGCGACACTTATCTGTTGAACATATTGATTTTTTTATCCTTTTTTATATAAACTTGATCAAACTTAAGATCATTTGACTTAGGAGTTAGGACAAAATATAATGAGTTCCTTTTAGGGGAGGGAATACATTTGAGGCTTGGATAATCTCCTAATTGATGCAGTCAATGCCTTCTATGATCTTCCCGTTATTTTCGTTGACAACCTGAAATCTAGTTATAACTAATAGAAATGAACCTAGTCCTTAGCTGAACCTGAACACACACACATATAAACACATACAGATGCATGCACTAGGTTTTTTTTTTTCACAACTCCTTCTAGTTAACCAGATGACTTACCATGTTTAAATCCGAGTATATTTCCAACACAAAAGCATTGACTAGTGTATTTAACAGGTACTCATGAGTGCAACAATTGATGCTGAGCGTTTTTCGCAATATTTCAATGGATGTTCGGTCATTCAAGTCCCTGGTTTTACCTATCCTGTTAGTAAACCCTTTCAGATTTGAATACATTAAACGATCGGAAATCATTGTTGGAAGTTATAACTTCTTTTTACTCAGGTCAAAACTTTCTATTTGGAGGATGTTCTTTCTATTCTACAGTCTGCGGGTGGTAATCATCTTAATACTACCAGTGATAAAAAAAAAAGAGCAATGTTTTAACTGATGATTTCAAAAGCTCAATGGATGATTCAATTAACCTGGCTTTGGTCAATGATGAATTTGATCCTCTCCTTGAGCTTATTTCTGCAGAGCAGAACACAGAAGTCTACAATTACCAGCATTCAGAGACTGGTGTAACACCTTTAATTGTTTTTGCTGCGAAGGGTCAGCTTGGGGATGTCTGTATGCTTTTATCTTTTGGTGTGGATTGTTCAGCACAGGATCATGATGGAAAATCCGCATTAGATTGGGCACAACAAGAGAATCAACAAGAGGTCTGTGAAGTAATCAAGAAACATATGGAGTGTAGTTCAGAAAAATCAACTGAAGATAATGAGCTGCTTAATAAGTACTTGGCAACTATTAATCCAGAGCACATTGATACTCTGCTAATTGAACGGTTGCTTGGAAAAATTTGCGTGGATTCCAATGAAGGAGCCATCTTGGTATTTCTTCCTGGCTGGGAAGATATCAATCAAACACGTGAAAGGTTATTTGCTTCTCCATTCTTTCGGGATTCATCAAGATTTCTTGTGTTGTCTCTTCATTCTATGATCCCGTCTTCGGAGCAGAAAAAGGTTTTCAAACGTCCACCAGCAGGGGTTCGTAAAATTATTCTCTCAACCAATATTGCAGAGACTGCTGTGACAATTGATGATGTTGTGTTTGTCATAGATAGTGGGAGAATGAAAGAGAAAAGTTATGATCCATACAATAATGTGTCCACACTTCATGCTTCTTGGGTTTCAAAAGCCAGTGCAAGACACAACGAAGGCGTGCTGGCCGATGTCAGCCAGGAACTTGCTATCATCTTTACTCAAGGTTTAGAGCATCATTCTTGCCAGACTACCAAATTCCTGAAATAAAAAGAATGCCCCTTGAGGAACTTTGTTTGCAGGTACGCTGCTTGTTTATATTTATTTTGTCCCTAATATTCAATGGAAAAAATGTCATGAAATATTTCATGGAACTGCGATTAAAGTACTTGTTAGTTACTCGGTGCTGTTTGTTAATCCAATTGCCATGCTGCAGGTCAAACTGCTTGATTCAAACTGCAGAATAGCAGACTTTCTGAAGAAAACCTTGGACCCTCCAATTCCAGAAACTGTAAGAAATGCTATTGCTGTGCTTCAGGATCTTGGTGCTTTAACACAAGACGAACAACTAACAGAATTAGGAGAAAAGCTGGGTTCCCTGCCAGTCCATCCATCCACCACCAAGATGCTCCTGTTTGCTATATTAATGAACTGCCTGGATCCAGCATTGACACTGGCATGTGCAGCTGATTATAGAGATCCATTTGTCCTTCCAATAGCGCCAGATGAGAGGAAAAGGGCAGCTGCAGCGAGAGTTGAGCTTGCTTCATTGTATGGTGGGTTCAGCGACCAACTTGCTGTTGTGGCGGCATTTGACTGCTGGAGGCGTGCCAAAGATAGAGGCCAAGAATCTCAATTTTGTGCAAAGTACTTTGTCTCTTCAAACATCATGTATATGCTATCAAACATGAGGAAACAACTTCAGAATGAACTGTCTCAAAGAGGGTTTGTCCCTGCAGATGCATCTGCCTGCAGCTTAAATTCTAAAGATCCAGGTACTCAGGTCTCTATGAAAATGCAAGTCTGGAAAAGTTGTATGCTCTTGGATTCCTTTAGTATGTTCCTATTTTTGTATGTGAACTATGTACATGTTAGTTTTGTGAAACACTAAGTATTTAGTGGCTCGTTTTGCTAGATCTCTAGGTAATTCTTTCTGGTGCCTATATGTGGGAGTTATACTTTACATGCTCACAGTGCCTAAAGTATGAGTGTGCGTGTGTGATGGTTCACATCACATTTAAAGGAGTACTTAAGTTTACAACACATTGTTCAACACTTAGTCTTAACACCATGATACACTCAGAGTCTAGCGGAAGTCTTTTAAAATTACATAAAGTTGATACATGTCCACGGGTGTGCCACTTCCATAGACCTACACCTCACAGGCAGTCATCTACCACTCCCAGTCTGTAGAGGAGTGTGCGTGCGTGCGTGTGTGTGGGTATGCGAAATTAGTATATTGAGATTATTAGATATGGCAAGTTCTCTTCAGCCATCGAAAGATGGGTATTTTAGTTAATTAACTAGCTAAAAGTTACTTGCATATGTCGATCAGAGAAGGGCGGGCCTGGTGCAAGCGGTAGAGTCTTACCGCCTGTGACCGGAAGGTCCCGGGTTCGAGTCGCGGTCTCCTCTCATTGCACAGGCAAGGGTAAGGCTTGCCATTGACACCCTTCCCCAGACCCCGCACAGAGCGGGAGCTCTCTGCACTGGGTACGCCCATATGCCGATCAGACTTTCCAGCTGCTTTTATTTTCTCTATTTCTGTTATTTCTTTAATTTAAACATCCTGTAACTTTATTTGGTAATAAAAAAATGTTTTACGCTTTTGAAGGGTGCTAGGCCATCTTGTAACCAAAGCATTGTCGAACTTATTTCACAAATTTTACTTTGTGTCTTATAATTTGATTTGTTTAAGTGTACTTACCTGCAACTCTATTAGGTATCATGCGTGCTGTTCTTATGGCTGGTGCTTACCCAATGGTAGGGAAATTGCTCCCTCCTCGCAAAAATTCTAGAAAAGCAGTTGTGGAAACAGCAAGTGGTGCCAAAGTTCGTCTGCACCCACACTCCTGCAACTTTAACCTATCTTTCAATAAATCTTCTGGGAAGCCACTGCTGATATACAATGAGATCACTCGAGGTGATGGTGGAATGTATATAAAAAATTCTTCAGTTGTTGGGTCATATCCTTTGCTTCTAATAGCTACAGAAATGGTTGTTGCTCCATCTGATGATGATAGTGATGAAGAGGAGGAAGATTCCAGTGAGGATGAAGCTGAGGAAAGCACTTTGGTACAGCACAAAGAAGAGATCATGTCTTCACCTGATAGCACTGTTTCAGTTGTTGTTGATCGGTGGCTCCGGTTTGACGCTACGGCTCTGGATGTTGCTCAAATGTACTGCTTAAGAGAACGTCTAGCATCTGCTATTCTTTTCAAAGTAAGATGATATTACCTTGGCTGCTGCATTCTTTTAATTTAATTGTGCATGTAGCTTTTTCTCTGTTGTGCGCCCAATCTTTTCTCCTATGTTTCTGAAAGATGCCACTATGACCTGTCGGGCGCACCAGCAAATGGCCATGCAAATTTATTCTGCATAAGCAATTTCTTATAATTGATATATGCACGAGAAAAATAGTACTGATGAATCTTCAATATGCTACTCCCTCCAATCTCAGATGAGTGATGTTTTGGAGCTGTCTAAAGTCAACCACTTCGAACTTAGACTACTTTTTTTACAATATGTTTATAAAACATGAGAAATGTTATACTTCTGTGATATTTCCTCTGTTCAAAATTATAGGTCCTTTTGTCTTTTCTGGATACATAGTTTTTACTATGTATGCATATATTTATGTACATAGCTTTTTGCTATGTATGTAGAAAAAGCCAAAATGACCTAGTTTTGGACTCGAGGAGTACTAGTTTTCAAGACAAACCTGCTCTTATCACTTACCAAACTTTCAAACTCAATGGGTAAAAGGTAATTCATGGTCAGAGTGTGGAATATTGATTTCGTACAACCCTAAAAAAAGGAAAAAAAAGGACGTACTCAATGCAGAGAGCTCCCGCTCTGTGCGGGGTTTGGGGAAGGGTGTCAGTGGCAAGCCTTATCCTGTGCAATGTGAGGAGACCGCGACTTGAACCCGGAACCTTCCGGTCACAGGCGGTAAAACTCTACCGCTTACACCAGGCCCGCCCTTCTGATTTCGTACAACCCTGAACATAACTTATTTGTGACTGGAGGGAGTATTTTTTTTACACAGTTACTCCTAGCTGGTTTTGTTTGGGATAATGCACCTGGACGATCCTCTCTATTACGCACTATTCTTGATCCCTTCGAACTGTTGAGCTATGACTTCTCTTACTTTTGCGTTTGTTTCTTTTCTGATAAAATGTGTTTTCTACAGGTGAAACATCCGCAAGATGTTCTACCGCCTGCGTTTGGAGCGTCAATGTATGCCATCGCATGCATCCTTTCATATGATGGCTTGCCTGCTATGGTTCCACCGAATGATCTTTCAGCAAATGGAGGTTCAGGCCAGAATTTAGCAGAAGCTAGCAGATTCTCTCAGGGAAGAAGAGCGGATTATATTCCACCTAGTGGGTTTCTGATGTCCTTATTAGCTGATAAGACCCATCCAGGAGGTTCTTCAGCGCATTCTCGGCCATCCAGGGCTCCTGTTGGCAGGTTTGATCGATCTCAGCGTCCTTTCCGCAAGTCTGGACCTGGGAGTTCAGCACCACGTTCTTTCAAAAGGCAGCGCGACGCTGCACGGTGAGCTGGGCTTAAAGGCAGCCTTTTGCATGCCCTTTTGGATGTGCTTTATCAACAGTGTCTGAACGACGAAAAGGGCATGCTATAGAATCACAAGTTTTCTGTATTCCGTTGTAGAAATGAAAGGAAAGAATTATAGCACATCAACGGATTCCTCTGTCGAAGAGCTCAGAGATCACCGGTTTTGTAGGTATGGGCTTGAGTGTTCTGTTTACTCAGCTCAGGCGAGCTCATCTGCATCATAGACCGCAGAGGCGCCTGTAATCTTCGGGATGGACTTCGGATGTCAAAAGAAAAATGGAAAAGAAAAGCGAAGACCTGTTACTTGCTCAAATAATGAGCCCCATAATTGACGGCATTGCTGGATAGTAGATGAGCTTTGTGCTGTAGCGCCATAGACAGTGGGGAAGTAGTATGGTGCGAGCTGTCTAATTCTGTGCTTGTATGTACTTATTAGTATACTTGCCCTTTCCTCAGAATTCGGTTATAGTGACACCAGCATTTCCTCAGAATTCGGTAATAGTGAGACCAACATGATGTGACGCATTTTATTCTTGTTTGAAAAAAAAAATGCGAGCGAAATACGATGCCTTTTCGGGTCAGCAGGTACTGTAGGTCTTAAAAGCCTGAAGGTAAAGTTTGACAACCTGGAATGCAGGCGAGTTGGAAAGTTGAATTGTTGAGGCCAAGGTACCATCTCTCGGGTAAAGTGGCAATAAGGGTAATTTAAAATCGCAGCGTGTGGTTCTAGGGAAAACCTACTTAGGCTGTAGTTGAATCTAAGGTCATAAGTGTCCTTTTTAAGCCCCGGATTGTAATTTTCTTTCTGAAGAAATGCCTAAGTTAAGGGCAACGGGCTCTATTTTTTTTTAATTTATTAGTGGTTGTGCCTTTTTTTTTTAAATTGAAGTTTGAGTTCGCCCCTAGTCCGTTAAAAAGATCTGATGGTGTCAATTCAATAGTAAAAAGATAACATTTCACATGCGGATTTGTCCCAGCATTTTAGTGCGTGTGTTCGGGGTTTGGAGATAAATAGTAATTGAATGGCTCCATCTATATTTTTTAGAATGGAATTGTTCTCGTTTGTTGTTTGGTTGTAAGAAATAGAACCGTCGCCGTTTCTTGTTTAGTTCTAGTCAAAATATGAGATGAGCCGGCTGAAGTGGGCTCTGTTTATCATCCTCTTGTTTTTTTATCCTTTCTTCTTCCCAACGGTGGCAACATCGCCATCCTACCCCGTGGCCGCTCACCTGCCACTGCAGCCTCGCCCTGTCCGCTCATTTTTGAGGGATAGGGACATTCTCGATTTCGGAAAATATTCATAAACGATCGTAAATTTTCAGCCGGAACAGTATTTTTTCAGCATGTTCGTTTGGCTGTGGCTTGTCGTAAACGATCGTAAATTTCCAGCCGGAACAATATTTTTCTCTCACACAAACCAGTCAGCAGTACTTCTTCACGAATCAGCAACGATACGAACCAGCCAACCGAACAGGCTGTTGTCCCTAGAATTTAGAATAATACCATCTCATCCCCTGTTGTCCCTAGAATCCTAAATTTAGAATAATCTCATCCCCTGTTGTCCCTAGAATCAAATATACATTTAAAGATCTATGTATTTTTCCCCTGTTTTGACTTGAACTATTTGGGCAATGTGTGATATATCTTAAAGAATTTTGACACAATATACTGAGAGCTTCATTCAAGGGCTCCCAACAGTAGTCCTGAATTCACCGCCCATGCTCAGCTGTGTAGGCTAGGAGCTACTCCCTCCGTTCCGAATGTATTTACATATACACTACATAGTTGAAGAAATGTATTTAGAAAATTTAAAATGTCTTATAATTTGAAACAGAGAGAGAGTACCAAGTTTTATATTTTCCTTATCCAAATCAATCGCTAATTGTGTTCTTCATCTTTTTCGGTTGGGCCGGACATTGCTAGATTCTGCAGATGCATCAAATCGCATCAGAGGCCCGTGCACTTCTTCCAGCACCGCGGCTCCTCATGGCCGCGTGAGGCCTTCTTCAATGTGTGGTCAGTGATGCTTATAAAAGAGAGAAAATTTAGGAACCGCTCTTTGCCACTACAACCTGTGATGCTAATTTGTAACAATGTTAGAAAAACAAAGAGCGAGGCAAGAACTTGCGCCGCTCCCAAATCGCTCCCATTCAGTAGAAAACAATTTCAACAATACTGCTCTATAAGACCCAGTCTCTGTTGGTTTGTTTCTTAGGAAAAGCTGAGAAAAAAGTTTGCCCGTGAGCCCATACAGTGATGTCTGCTACTCCTGCACATCGCACTACTTGAGTGATTCCAGTTTTAGCTGTGGGACCTGATATTTTTCCTAGCTCTACTTCCACTTGAGGCTACGCCTCGCTAGCGGGCTCACGTGGCCGCACCGGCCCTGGTCGCCGCCCACGTGGTCACTTGGCCGCATCTCACGCGCCGCCCAGCTTCCTTTCCTCTTGGCGCTTAGCTTCTCTCCTTCCCATGACGCTAAGCAGGTTTGTGTCGTGACCCGCTGCGTGCGAGTGCAACTGTGTAAGAAGAGGCGCGGGGACGGGCGTGTTTAGTTCCTGGGCTAGCGTTGCCTCACCTAGTCTGTGCAAGCAAGTCTCGTCTTGCTAGTTCCCTTAGAGTCCTTTTGGCATGGCTCATCTAAAACGGATTTATCGCTGAAATCAAAACCGGGAAAGCTAGAAAAACTAGGTGTTTTCGGCTTCTAGTTAATTTTAATCCTGGCTTACAAAACGACTTCACGCTACAATGTATCGATTTGCGCAAAATAGATAAAACCAAAGCCGACATAAGCCGTGCCAAAGAGGCCCTAAGTCTAAAGGTTGTTTGGATCTCTCGCTAGTCACTGTATTGCCTCACCGAGCGAGGATAGAAAGCTGGCTAGCTTGTTTGGATGGTCTGCCTGAAGACCTCGAAGCCTGTGCAAGCGAGTTTTGCCTTGCCCAGCTGAGAGAGCTAAATTGGCTCACACGGCTAGGCAAGCTTCTCGTGTCATGTGCCAACGAGGCTGAGTGAGGCGAGGCGAGGCGATGCTGTTGGAGAAACCAAGCACGACCTAGGTCCCTCCTCTAAATTTTTAGAGAGAAAAGTAATATTCACGATGAAAATGACTTTCTTTTAAAAGACTGAGGAGCTAGGTTAGAACAAACATCAGGCAATTAACAGGTACCAGGACCGGTTAATGAAAGTTACTATACTAAAGCCTTCGTTCGGTTACTGGAGATTCAATCCCAGCCGAACAGTTTCTTCATACATTTATACAGCGCCGGAACCGTTCCAGACACACAACGGCTTCCGGAAGAAGAACCGATCGGAGCTGGGGTGTTCCAGCCTAAATTGTTCGTGATAATATTTCAAAAATTTTGTTCGTTTCTCTTATAATCTATTTTTTTAGTTTGTTTTTTTAACCGAAACGGTATTTTTATCTCACAACAAATCAACCGAAACAGTATTTCGACTTATTTTTTTAGTAAAACGAACGTGACAAAAAAAAAGTGTTCGTGATGCACGTGTCGGAACCGAGAACGGTTTCGTCATTAGCCAGTGAGGTGCGCCACACGTCCGGTCCGGCCCGGCATATCTGGCCCGGTTATCGTGTTGCACGTCTGGCAGATGACGACCGTTGTTGCAATAAATTCTGTCGATTTGTGACCGGGGCCTTCTGCGTACGACACCCGTGATAGCATACTGTACTCCGTAGGTGTTTTTTGCTCTGTCGGGTCCTGGACTCCCACCCGGTTCAGATCACCGTCCATTTCTGATCCCTTCGTTGGAGCCTTGTTGGTGCCTTGGTGGGCATGTACACTGCCTCAAGAAAATAGCAGGACAATGATAATCCCTCCCTCCTAAAAAATATAATTGTCATTAGTTAATCAATTTTAGATTTAAAACAATACCAATATTTATATATTTATAAATTTATAAGAACATATGCATGATTAATCCAATTTAAATTATTAAATATTATAAATATTTGTTCTTATATATTTGATCAAATTTGAGAATCAGGTCATGTTTGTTCATGACCACAACGTGCTGCCATATCACATGTCAGTTATGGCATAGTTTTGTTGTAGTTGTTTGGTTTGCTGCCACAACTACGACGTGTTGCACTTTCTTAGCATCATGTCAAACCACTGATCATAGACTCATTTTCTTGCCAAGCTTTGTCACAAGTGCAACTTCGATTTTGCTCGTCAATGTTTTTTGTGGCGGTCACAATTGCTGAAGGTTTGAAGTGGTAAAGTGTGGCACGAACCAAACAGGCTTCAATGCTGGCACTTGAAGCTTTTAGAGACTTGTAGTAATAAGACGATATAGTAGTTAATTGCTTGAGGAGCTTAAACTAAGTGAAGCCTTGTGTTGTCAGTCACCACCATTAGTCCTAACGACTCCACTAGTAGGGTCTAAAAATGTCGGTCAAACTCTGAGTGGCCTCAATGCGCCGCATATAGATACGTATAGTACTTCACGATTACACTATGGATCCGGGAGTAGGGACCGCAATTTCTAATACCACCGCCACCAGGTGTGGCCGTGACACCTCCTTCTCCTTGATCCTAGATTCACGTTTATCTAGTGTAACACCCTTTGTGTTACGCCTTAAGCCAATCACTAAATCGTGTCACGAGCATCATGTTTATATGATAATGCATGTGATAAAGTATGAAGATAAGTTTCCTTGTCACCAAAATAATTAATGAAAATGTTAAATGAAGTGCTTCAAGAGTTCATGTTATATCAAGTAGGGTTGAAAATCAATTTTTATTGAGCAAAAATATTATAGAACATGTATATAATCCTAAATAAAGTTTGAAATATAAACTTTATAGAGGACAATGCAACTCTTGTCTTAGAAAAATAATATTGCTAACTAGTATTTCTAATAGCTTAGAAATGGAACTTAAAATCAAATTCAGCCCAAGACTTTGCAAATTCTCAAGTCTGAAAACAGTGTGACAATGCAATGTTGGTGAATTAATT